TCTTTTGACTTTCCTTCCTATTTCCCACCGTGCAAAGCGTCCTAGCTTACAGGTTTCACAAAAGCAACCACTGTCGGCCCCGTCTGTCACTGGCGCAGAAAACGAGGTCACCAGGCCACCTGCAGGCCCATGGCCAGGGAGGGGACAGGTGTGAGTGAGTTTGGAAACACCATTCAAGTCCAAGCTGGAAGCCCAGGCCTGCACCGGGGCTGAGGTCAAGTGGAGCCCCAAACCCCAAAGTACTTGATGGCTGACCACGGGGCAGCCTGGGTCCTGCTTGCCAGCTGAGGGGGATACCATAGTGCCTGCTGCCCTGCTGGGGAGCTGCAGATTACTAAGCCCCTCCTGCCCTTCTGCCCTGCTTGGGCACTGCCCTTTCCCCAGTTTCTCACCCACAGATCTGCTCCAGTGAAGCCCCCTGCCTGCTGATTCCCACAAAGCTTCCCAAGCTGCCCTGCACTGCCCACCATCAAAGAGCTAATCCTCGGCCTTGGGCCTGGAATGGGCACAGTGTCTGAACTATGGGTCTGACAGTCCTATGTAGAGGAAGCTTGGGTGCCCAAGGTGCCCAACTGCCAGGGAATCCAGAGCCTGATCAGGTCTCCTGCAGCCCCTTAGCAGCTGTGCCCTGGTCCCCACACACCTACCCTCAGGCAGTCCCACCCCTTTCTACAGTCTGTGCCGACCACCCTCCCCAGATACAGCCCAAGCCCCTTCCTCAAGGACACACCACTCCAGCTATCTGCTCACCTCCCTCTCTGCCACACTTGCAGAGCCATGCCAGGCCTCTGCCTGTCACTTGCTCTGCACAGCGCCCAGGTTCCCTGCAACCCTCTACCCCACCTGTAGATGAGAGTGCCACTTCCCCAGGGCCTGCCATGGTCTCCGCCCACTGCCTGTCACTGCCTCACTTCCATGTTGGTGGAGCACCTGCTGTGGACACCTTCACACTCTGGGGCTACAGTGCAATATGGGCAAGCAGCAGCCTGGCCCTGCGGCTGTGCCTGCTCCACCAACAGGGGGCAGCACACAAGTCCATCTCTGCAGAGCACTGACCCCCTGGGGGCGGATGGGGGAGACAGGCAGGCCAGCATCTGATGCCTGGGGACCTGTGTTTGATTCCCAGCTCTGGTCCCAATGCCAGCTTCCTACTAATGCATACCTGGGGAGGCTGTAGTGATGGTGCAAGGCCTGAAGGTCAGTGGCACGTGGCCGGCACATGAGGGCAAGTGGATGGGCTCTGAGCCACAGGGCAGTGAGTCTTTGCCTTTGTCTGGGGGAAGACAAGACACACTACAGGCACCCAGACAGCAAGGAAAGGGTGTACTTGGATGGAGGTGTCCTGCCCATCAGACCCCAAGCAAGGTGGGGCTTTGGCGTGGGGTTCCTGGCAGCAGTGATCAGGCTGCTTCCTGCCAAACAGCTTGCAGCAGGAAGGGGTCAGACCTGGGTCTCAGGTGAACTGGGAAGCACCTCTCCCCGGGAAGCTAAGAAACCCCCATAGCTGAACAACCACAAAAATATCCATCTTTGTAATGCAGCACAAGCACACATCTTCCACATTCCAATCAGGCCAAGGACACCAGGAGGCAGACCCAGCAGTGACTCTGACAAAACAGCTAGTCACTTGGGGGAGGCAGACACAGCAGTGACTCTGACAAAACAGCTAGTCACTTGGGGAGACTGCTGCTCCCAGGGCTGTAGCCCAGGGACAGGTTCCGGTGGCTGAGCGGGGACAGGAGCCACCCATGACTGCTGCCACAGCCCCAGTGGGAGAGGGGCCCCGAGAAAGCCCCTGTGCATGGCTGGCTACAAGGCAAAATGGTGTGGCTGCCATGACAAACAGGATGGTGCATCATCCCAAAGTCGAACAGGGAATGCCCCGGGCACATCCCCCAGAGACGCCTCTATGGCCACACGCCCGGCTGTGTGATTCTCAGAGAGCAAACGGGGCAAGCAACCCACGTGGGACCTAATGTGGTAGAGACATCCAACGGGATACCACTCGGCCTTAAAAAGGAAGGCGATGTTAACACAAGCCCCAGTGAGCGTTAGCTTCATAGATGTTTATGCTAAGGCCTTGTGGCTGGCATGTGGGGCCAGAGGTCCCATGTCGGGGGTCCTTGGGCCTCACTATTGAGTAGTGAGGGCTCTAGTGGTGTCTGAGCTCTCTGCAGAGCAGAGGTGGCCAGCACTCCCTGCCCCAACCCAAAGCTTCCCAGAGGCAGGCAGGTTTCTCCCAGAGAACGCTCTGTACACCAAGCTGGGGCTGTGTGCTGGGAGTGAGGCCATAGGCAGGGTAGGCTCTGTCTCCCTGGGGCGACTGGGCCACTACACCAGCAAGAGCATGGGGAGGAAACTCCAGATGCTCCTTCTGCAGCTTGAGGCATAGCACAGGGCCCTCAGGACACACTTCCTTGGTCGCTGCTTGAGCAGGTGGGAAGCACAGCAGCCTCTGGCTGGCTTGGGCCCCACTGCACAACCCCTATTCTCCTGGGACGGGCTGCCTCTTCTCGTCCACCAACACTTGGTGTACACAGCCAGGGCCAGGGCTGGCATCTCACAGCAGCCTCCTCTACATCCGCCCCATACAACACACTTGACTGAGAGCAGAAAAGAACCTGGCGGTGTGACAAAGGCAACCTGGGCTTCCAGGCCTCCAGTGGCTCTGCCCGGCCTCCCTGAGGCGAGTGAAGCCGCACTCTCCATCAGGCTGTGAGCGGCTGACTCAGATCGTCAGCAATTAGGAGCGCCGGGCCTATCTAATTAACCAGCCGGCTCCTCAGCCTCCCCACCACGGCCCTCAGATAATGAGGGCAGCAGCCTAGGCGGGCAGGCCCAATTACAAGGGACGCAGCCGTGAGGACCTGCCTGTGCCCTCCACCCAAGCACTCATCAGCCTGAGCCAAGGCACACAGCCGCGGCTCTGGCTGGAGATGCACCTCCGTGTTCCCAGGAACCCCTGAGGACCAGTTCTCCTGCGGCAGACCTGCGCTAGACACTTCTCCAGGGGCCCCCTCTCCCAACATGCCCAGGTCCTCGTATGCTCCCAGATCCAGAAGTGATGTCCCAGAGGTGGAAGGCAGAGATGGGGAGTTGGGGGGTGGGGGTGTCCCATAAAACAGGCAAGCCCAGAGCTGAGGGCTTCAGATAGTCCAGGGAGCTCACCCAGGCACCCAGGGCACCTACCGCTTACCCCTGACTGTGCAGCACCTCCCCCTGGCCCGGGGTACAGATCCGTGTCTGTCTTCAGTGCCTGGCCAGGGGATTGGGCAGGAAGAGCCTGTAGTATGAGCGAGGGGACAATGCTTCATATCCCTGGCTGGCATCAGAGAGCCCCTGTGAGGGCGAAGGCTTGGCAGAGGCCATGTCTGAGCCTGCATGGTCACTTGGGGGCATGGGGGCAGGGGGAGGGGCTACAGAGCTCGCTCCCTCTGCTCCAGCGCTGCTTGTGCCCAGAGGCCTCCCAAGGCCCTAGCTCCGCTTCTTGCCTTCTGGAAGCTAAGGCTGCACCCCAGCCTCCAGCTCCTGCTTCCTATATGACCTGAAGGTCCAGCCATTGGGGCTCTACTCCCTCCTTTGGCACACAGCTCCCAGCCATTTCCAGTGACACGCCTCCCCTTTGCTCTCAGGCTCATGGGACCGGTCTCCTCCAATGAGGCCTCCTGGCTGTGCTCAGGCCTGGAAGGTCCAGCCCAGCCCTGGCCCTGGAGGGTGGGGAACCCTGGAGAGTGCTGTCTTTTCATGCTCTGGATACTGACCTGGGGGGGGGGGGTCCCTGGAGCCAGGACCTGCACACAACTGACCGCACATCTGACCATGAACTGTCGCTTATACCAGCCACTTGTATGACTATCAGGAGTCCTCCTGGCTGACTCAGGACATCTGAGGCCTGAGAACTCCCAGGACTTCCCCATAAATTCTGGAGAATATGGGCCCATGAGCACTCCAAGAAAACCTGAATTCTAGTAGGAGGATGCTAGGTGTGATGAACTAAACTGCGCGTCCCTATCGGTCCTGCAAGGAAGCCTTAACCCCCGTGTGACTGTAATCAGGCAGGGATCATTCAGGGACTTCCTGAGGTTGAACGACATCATGGGGTCCGGCATCATGGTGTCATGGGGTAAGCCACATCTTGTGATGCCAACAATCCACATCAGAGTCCTGGTTCGAGTCCCAACTACTCCATTTCCAAACCAGCCCCCGAGCCTCCAGGCCTGCAGGCTGGATAAACCTCTAGTTCTTTACATTTGCAGTGATAGAAAGTTGCTGAATGCAATTTCTGCCAGGAAGAAAGGAGCAGGTGGCCCCGTGGGATGGAGGGGTGAAAGGAGGCACTGAGGAACCCCGAGCACAGAAAGGCAGAACGCTCTCCCAGGGGCGACCAGAGAAGGCTGGCAGGGACAGTCCAGGGAGAATTAAACGTCGGGATCAAAAATGGCTTGGAAGCAACAGGAAGCCCTTCACCACGCAGAACAACTCAGTTGAAGCAGAAAACCGTCGTTCTTGCTGTGAAGTGACCACCATGAGAGCAGGACCACAGGACAAGATGTGAGGTGCTGGTGTCCAAGCTGGCCCTGGGCAAAACCAACAACGCTGATGGAGCAGCGCTGTGCCAGGCGCGGCTGGCAGAACATGGACTTCACAACCCGTAATCCTCCAGGTGCTCTGAGGCACACATCACACGTGTGTACACACACATCACACGTGTGTACACACACACACACCCCATCCTATGCTGAGGATGTGGAGACCTCGCAGAGGGTTGCTGGGTTCACAGGGCTCTCGTGAAAGCCAGATCCACATCCAGGCTGTGAGGTGTGAGTGGACCCCTGCCAAACTAGCCCCAGGAACCAGGCTCTCTGGCCCTCAGGCTGAGGTGCTCCTTGCCACGGGGCAGAGGCTGCCGCGGCATGCACACGTCCACCCGCACACACAAACACACTCCGGCATGCCTAGCCGCTGGGCAGCCAGAGCGCTAGGGCCGTGTGAGGCCTTACCTTCTGGCAGTCCCTGCAGAACACCGAGGAGCTGCCCAGGAAGCCCAGCACCTCCCCGCAGAGCAGGCACTGGGACAGGCCGTTCCCCATCACGTTCCGCTGCATCGTCTCCAGCCGCTCCACCAGCCGCCTGCAATGGGGCACGCACGGTTAGACGCATGTGGGTTGCTTCCCAGACCAACTCGAACCCTGCCTGGGCCCCCATGCCCTTGCATGCCACATGTGCTGTCTGTCATCCTCTAGGGTCCCTGTTTTTGCCCTATGCCCCTCCCCTGGCTAAGTCCTTGGTCGCCCAACAGTTACTTGTTGGTGCTCAATGCTGAGTCTTACAGGAAACACGCTGGAGACAATCAGGCCCCTGCAGTCAATGCTGCAGAAAACCAATTGGCAAGTCAACGTGTGAGCCAGTGGACCTCGGAGAGGGAGGCGTGCTCAGTGGAGGCAGACAGGCAGCGGAGTGGGGGCCTGACAGCCTGATAAAGGCTCCGAGTGGGGGGCCCAGAGAGGGGTATTCTAGCCTTGGAGGCAGCACATGCCCAGGCCTGGGGTGTGACAAGACATACAGGGGATGTGGGTGGGAGACAAGGGTATACAGAATACAGACAGCAGGCAAGGGCCAGATTTTGAGGGGTTTGAAGCCATGGTTTTGTGTGTTTATTTTTTCCTCTAAGCTGTCAACAGGGAATGACTCACTTCCAGAAACAGATGTACAGGCTGGCACACAAATAAGCCTGGTAGGAAAGCCACCACCTTCCCATTTTAAAGATGGGAAGGCTGAGGCTCAGATTTGGGAAGGCATTTTCCAGGGCTTTGGCACTCCCAGGAGGCAGAGCCAGGGCCTCTGGCAGCCCGGCCAGCCAGGCTCCCCTCCCAGGATAGCCTCAGGCTGGGTAATGAGGTTGGCACTAGCCCCGTGCTCTCAGCAAGGACTTTCAGCTTGCACAAGGGAGAATTCCCCTGTCAGACTGACCCGACCCTGGGGCCCCCGGCAGGACAGCCCTGAGTCTCCACACGGTATGTCCTCTTCCTGCTTGAATGGCCAGCGGGCACTGACTTTGGCTCCTTCTGAGCCCCTTACCAAAGCCAGCGCTCACAGGCAAGGCCAGCCAGGGACTGTGGAACACAGCACGGGACAGGCAAAGTTGATGGCACCCAGGAGCCCCTGGTGCACACCCCCGGCCACTCCCTGCATACTCCGCCTGGGAGCGGGCCTGGCACGCCTGTGCCGCTGAGGCACTTGCGGCTGGCTGCCGGGAGTCGCAGCGGGCCCTGGAGCGGCACGTGCACCCACATCTCTGCAGGGTCTGATTCTCTGAAAATGACCATGTCCTTAATAGAACAAGGAAAAGGAGACCGGAACCAAATGAGCTGTAGCCTGATGCATTGCCCAGAGCACTTTCCTACTTGTGCTTTTCGGTGTTTTTTCAGATTTTCTAGGAAATGGGAATTGCTTTTGTTACAAAACAAGGTAAAACACAACAGGCACAAGGACAGGCAGAGCTGAGCTGGGCTCCCAGCAACAGAGGCCTCGGCCAGGGGTTGGGGGGAGCCGAGAGCAAGCCGGACATGCACCTGCCACAGCTGGGCCTGCACGGGATGTCTTCCCTAGCCGGCTCCCTGCACTGACCGGCAGCTGGCATGCCTTCCTGTGTTACATCTGGGGTTTCGGAGAGCGGGGGCGGGGCAGGGGGTGTTTGAGGAGAGCTGTAGGGGATCCTGACTCTCTCCCTCCCATCAGGGACACGCGGCCCCAGGGCCTCCCCAGCTTTCTCCGCAGCAGACCCCGCCCTCACCCGACTCTCTGCTGCTCCAAGACGTCAAGGCGCTCAGCTCTCCGGATGACCTGCAGGACAGCCTCGATCTCCGCGGGGCTCAGGCTCTGGCTCCTCCGCTGCTTCTCCGTCTGGTAGGTGTGCACAGACCAGCCTGTCTGCAGCCTGGGGCGGTGGGCGGGAGGACACAGGCAACGGTGCTGAGGCCTTGCCATGGCGAGCCCTGCTCCCGTGACCATGTCTATATGCTCCGGGGGTGAGAGGTCCCACCCCGTGTGGTTAGTCTTCTGAGCTCCTGCATGGCCCTGGTGTGTGTCCAGCCTCAACACTGTGCCACGGTGGCATGGTACCCTCTGGCACCTCTGGAATGCCAGGTTCTGGGGGGGGGGATGAGGCCCTGACCCAGCTGGCCTCTGCGTACCTCTCCACCTCACTGCGTTCAGGCCATGCAGGCCTCAGTGAGTCACTCCAGGGCCTTCACACGTGCACTTCCCGCTGCCTGGCAGCATCCCCAGGGACTGCCATCTAACACCAACCCAGTGTGAGCATGCTTCCCTTAGTGTGCCAGCCCACTACCCAGGCACAGGGAGGCAGCCCAAGAGCAGCTGTATCCCTGAAAGGGCTCACCTCGCCCACCTGTGCTTCTGACTAGGGGCCGTGCTGACCTCGGTGGCCACACACAGCACAGGGCTTTAAAAGCATTGCTGGTGCCTGCAGGCTGGAAGGCAGGCGTTCCCGAGCTGGAGCCAGGGAAGGTCACTTCCTCGGGCCCCCCAGAGGGTCTGCCTGTGGCTCCCAGCCCAGAGCTGGGTCAGGCCTGCTGCTGGCACACCCCGGGGAGGAGATAAAAGCATTACTCTGTATTGAAAGGCTCGACAACAGCTCTGGGCAGGGAGGACTTGGACTGGGGACCTGTGAGGGTCATGCCGGGCCAGGCTGATTCCATCCCTGGGCACCCTCCCCACATATCACGTGGGATGCCACATGGCCTGGGCACTGCAGATTCATTTTCCCATTCTTTGATGTCCCAGCCCCGTCTCCCTGAGGCGTGGAACATGTAATTGCCAATTTCTTAGACTTGGCCCCCGTTGGGGAATGCCAGCTCCAATGAGACTGGCGCAGGCTGGCAGTGGGGGAGGGGGTGCAGCAAGGCACCGCAAGGCTCCGAAGGCCCACGGCCCCTTATCGGGTGAGGTACAGGGTTGGGGTCATGAGGGGCAGGGAGAAAAGGCAGAACCAGTCACGCTGGACGCTAGGTGGAGACAGCCTGTTCCAGCCAGAGATGAGGGCTCAGCAGGCTGAAGAACAGGATAACCAGGAACCCCACCTCACCCACCCCCATCACACCCCAAGAGAGATGGGTGGGAACCAGGGGGAAGGCAAGACCCTGGCTATGTGCTGTGTGACGCTGAACCACATAACACAGTGGGCAAGACCTAGGTTCCCCTGTCTTAGGTCCGGGAACAGCAGCCAGGGCCTCTGGGTACTCTGCAGAGGCCACACAGCTGGGAGTCACAGGGACCTAGGCACCTTGGCCTGGCCACTCGCTCATCCTCTTCATCACAGGCTCATGTGGTGTGGAAAGAGCAAGTGGCTAAAGGCCCAGCTCAGGGCCTGTGGTAGCGCAGCACCCTTCACATTCTGGGAGGGGGAGGGAGCACTCACTTGGCCCGGAGAGCGAGCTGTCGGTCGTTGGGGCAAACCCATTGGTCATTGCCACTACCGAAGATGGTGTCGGCCATGGCTCCAGGCACCCAGCTGAGGGCAGGCAGTCACATCTGAGAGGGGAGGGAACAGAGAGGGTGTCACCGACTGGAGAGCGGTGGCTAGACGGGGTCCCTCTGAACCAGACACCAGGGTCTCTAGGCACCATCCCCGTCTACAGCCAGGCTGTGGGAACCATTTCCCAGCACAGCTCCACTCCTCACCCTGGCCCCTTTGCCAAAGGCCCAGCTGTCCAGAAGGGATGCCCGATGAGGCTGCTGGGCTGAGAAACCACAATGGATGTGACCAGCAGGACACTGAAGGATCGGCACAGAAGGGAGACAGGAAGAACACCTCAGTCATGCCCAACTCAGCAGGCGGGCATTTGCTCCCTGTTGGTTCTCAGGGCACACCACTAGCAGGAGGAGACAGTGGGACAGCTGGGCATCCCCAACTCATGTTCAAGCCCAGGGCAGCAGCTCGGGTACCCTGAACTCCCAAGGAGGTGACAGTAAGCACCACGGAGCTTTACAGAGCCAGGTGGAGGGCTGGGAGCACTGCCCCAAGGGGTGCTAGCCCTGGTCCCTGGGCACAGAGTGGGGAGCCCTGCTCCAGAACTGCCCAAGGGGTCCACAGGAGCACAGGCCAGGCAGGTCACTTTCCAAGACTGAGAGCAGCACCTACGCTTTGCTGTCCATCCTAGGAGGGTGCTTGTGTAACTGGAGGGAACAGGAAGAGTGAGGAGTGAAGGAGGGGGTGAGGGGGCTGACTGAGCATGTCAGAACCCTAGAGCGAGGACAGGCGGCTGCACTGAGCCACCCACATTGCCCTGGGCTGCTCCTGACTAGGCCAGCAGTTCCCATTCTCAGACCCAACCCCCTCCGAGGGTTAAGGATGGTGCTGTGGCACAGCACGTTAAACCCCATCACCCATGATGCCAGCATCCCCTAGGAGGAGCTCCAGCTGCTCCACTTTCAATCCAGCTCCCTGCAAACAGCCAGGTAAAAGCAGCAGAGGATGGCCCAAGTGTCTGTGCCCCAGAAGATGCTCCTGGCTCCAGACTGGCTCAGAGACAGCTGTTGTGGCCATTCGGGGAGTGAAACAGCAGATGGAAAATGGCTCTTTCTCTCTGTCTCTCCCTCTTATCTCTTCCAAAATAAATATGGAAATCCATCTGACACTCCCTCAAAATGTTAAGACACTGACCCAGAAACTCCGCCCCTCAGTCCACACGCAAGAGTGCCCATGTCTACACACACCTGGGCTGTAATGTCTACATAGCGCTATCCCATTGCCCCAAAACACAGTGAACGCTCAGAGGGCTCCACAGGCACCCAGCTCGCTATGATCTGGCCACAAGATGTCACACAGCACTGATGCCTGCTGAGAGAAGCCAGACACAAAGGCCCTCGCACGCCAGCTGTGTGATGTACCTGACAGGCCACATCTCCCAACAGGCAGCCCCAGAGAGACCAGGCCAATTAGGAAGTAGCTAAGGGTCAAGCAAAGCGGCTGGGGAAACACCACTTTGAAGGGGATCTGGATTTCTTTCAGAGGTGACAGAAGGTTCTGGAGTGAGACAGTGGTGATGGCTGCATGACTTTGCACATGCACTAAAACCACTGACTGTAACCTCTTCGAGGTGACTTCTACGGGGTGTGAATCAACAATTCCTTGGCGAGTTAGACAACGATTCTATGTAGTGGCAGGTGCTGCGGTGCTGTGGCTGAAGCCACTGCCTGTGATGCTGTCATCCCGTCTTAGAGCGCTGGCTCGAGTCCCAGCGACTCTACTTCTGATCCTGCTTCCTGCTAATGATCCTAGGCACATGGGCCCTGGTACCCATGTGGGAGACCTGGGTGAAGTTTCTGGCTCCTGGCTTTGGTCCGGCCAAACCTTGGCTGTTGCACACATGTGGGGAGAGAACCAGCAGATGAAAGGTTTTTCTCTCTCTTTTTTTAAGATCTATTTTATTTATTTGACAGGCAGAGTGTCAGAGAGAAAGAAAAAGACAAACAGATCTTACGTGTACTGGTTCAATCCCCAAATGACAACAACCACCGGGGGCTGGGCCAGACCAAAGCTATGAGTCTGGAACCCCACCAGGACATGGGTAGCAGGGACTCAGGCACTCAGGCCATTTTCCACTGTCTTCCCAGGTGAATCAGCAGGGAAAGGGAACTAGATTTGGGGCAGCTGAGACTTGAACCAGCACCTAAAATGAGAACAGTGGGTTAAGCCACTGCCTACAACTCCAGCACCTCATGTGGACATTGGTTTGCGTCCCACCTGCTCCATTTGCAATCCAACTCCCTACTAATGGCGCAGGAAAAGTACCAAATACAGCCCAAGCACTTGGGTCCCTGCACCCACGTGGGAGACATTCATGAAGTTCCCTGCTCCCAGCTTAACCACTGGCTACAGTGGATATCTGGGGAGTGAACCAGCAGATCAAAGATCTCTCTCTTTCTCTCTCTCTTTTTTGTAATGCCTTCAAATAGATAAGCAATTTTTAAAAAATTAGTTTCTGGGGTCCAGAGCTGTTGCCTAGTGTCTAACGTTCTCACCTTGAATGCACCAGGATCCCATAAGGGCGTTGGTTATAATCCTGGCGATGCCGCATCCCATCCAGCTCCCTGCTTGTGGCCTGGGAAAGCAGTCGAGGACGGCCCAAAGCTTTGGGACTCTGCACCCACGTGGGAAACCTGGAAGAAATTCCTGGATCCTGGCTTCGGATCGGCGTAGCATTGGCTGTTGCGCTCACTTGGGGAGTGAATCATCAGATGGAAGATCTTCCTCTCTGTATATCTGACTTTCCAATGAAAATAAATAAATCTTTAAAAATACATATATTTTTAAAAATTATCACAAAGTCAGATATACAGGAAGAGAGAGACAGAGAGGAAGATTTTTCATCCAACGATTCACTTCCCAAGTGACCACAACGGCCGGTGCTGCGCTGATCTGAAGCCAGGAGCCAGGAACTTCCTCCAGATCTTCCACGTGGGTGCAGGTCCCAACGCTCTGGGCCGTCCTCGACTGCTTTCCCAGGCCACAAGCAGGAAGCTGGATGGGAAGCAGGGCTGCCAGGGTTAGAACTGGTGCCCATATGGGATCCTGGTGGCTTCAAGGACGCTAAGGACTTTAGCTGCTAAGCCACCGCACCCGGCTCAAAAATAAGTAAATCTTTAAAAGATTACTTGTGGCTTTGAGTACCCCTGAAAGGTATTGGGGACCCTCCATGTTATTGGGACTAGACCAACGTCACCATTCCTGTGCTGACCAGCAGGGGGCAGTGTGCAGATAGTCACTCACCACACATCCAGGCACCTGCTCTTCCAGCTGGAACCTGATGCACCACTGTGGACCTACAGACTTGGATAACTCCAGGCTCCAAAGCCAGGCATGGAGACCCCACAGCCAGGCCCAAAACCTAGGGGCGAGGGGAGGGGGGGATGTTCCTGAGATCTCAACTCTAGACTTTCTCTCAAACAAGGCTAAGGTAAAATCCAGGAAAACGCAGGTGAGGTCAGAAGCAACACAGTTACAGACACTTTAAACCTGGAGCCCTGTTCCAGCCCTTTGAGCACACTGGTTTGTCTGGGCTCTGAATTTTCTTTGTTGAATTGCTGTCACCTTGTAAATGGCACAGTTGTACTGCCCACCGTGGGTGTGAAAATCTTTACTCTGTTCAAAGCAAACATTCACAACTGACTATTCCCAGGAGCCCTGCTTCTGCGTCTCTTCAAAACCTCAGGGAACAGAAGGGATGGCTGAGTGGGTGCAGAGGGCAGCATCCCTGGGCCAAGTTCAGAGGTCACGTTTGAGAAACTTCCACAGCAACACTGCAGCCACTCCAGGCGTCAGTGACTGGAGTGGGTATTGCAAGCAGCACAGTGGGTTCGGCCATGGCCCACTTGTGATGGCAGCCTCCCATCATCAGGGCACTGCTCTGCATCCTCACTGCTTCATTTCCAATCCAGCTTCCTGCCAACAACGGCCCCCATGTACTTGGGTTCCTGCCACCCACAGGGGAGACCAGCCTAGGGTCTGGGGTTCCTAACTTCAGTCTTGTCTGGCCCTTGCTGCTGTGGCCATTTGCAGAGTGAAGCAGGGCATAAAAGACACCTCCCCCTCCTCCGCCTTTTGAATATGTCAACAAGTAAACATTTCTTTAAAACAGGGGTCAGGGGCAGGACTTGGCTTGCTCCCAGCAAAGTACATCTAGAATCATCCAGCACATGATGCTCTGCTGGGGGGCGGGGAGCCTTGTCGGGCTAACATTTGTTTCCTTCTTGGCGAATTGTTAAAAATCTAAATTTATTAGATCTTTCTACCAAAACACTTGCAACAGCCAAGGCCATGCCAGGTGGAAGCCAGAAGCCCACAGCTCACAGGTTCTGTATTTTTGAGCTCCAGGGAGGAAGATCTTGCTGCACACTCCCACCTGGGTGACCCCCAGGGCATACACAGCCACCCTTCTCATCGGGATTCACATCTACTCGGGAGGAGGCCACTGCCTCCTTGATGCACGCTGCAGGCTCGGAGCCGCTGAAGCAAGTGCTGGGCTTAGAGCCCTGGGACCAAGCGGCCCAGCTGGTCCCTCCAGGTGTCCTCTGCATGAGGGTGCGGGCCAGCAACCCAGTGTCACCCAGGAAGGCAGCTGCTGGATCCAGGCCTCTGACCCTATAGCAGCAGCTGTTGCCAGCAGCAGCTGTTGCCAGCACACATGAGATTTCCAGAAAGACATCAGAAGGTAAGCAAGCCACCCTCACAGAGGCCGTGCACACACTGCCAGTCTGTCACCTGTGCCATGTCCTGCCGCTTTCATCTCTCTGACCTGCAGACCGAGCACATCCTGCCTTGGTTTCAGGTCAGGGACATTTTACTGACCCTGCCAGGCCCAAGGACTCCCCAGGCTGCGGCACAAATGAATGAATATCCATGCAGCCTCCCCTGAGCCCCATCTGGTGGCTTGGCTGTGGTCCGTCTGGATGAAGTCAAAACTGTGACCCTATGGAAGACAGCTCCCCCTAAAGCAGCACACGCCAAGACCACAGCTGTGTTGTGACCC